GGGGGGCGGTCCTTCTCGGTGGAGGCAGCGGTGGGGCAAGGGGATGAGGGGGAAAGGGGGGAATTTCTATATCCTTTGCTTGTATTTGGTTGGGACTTTTTTTTATTCTTTCTCGAATTTTCAAAACAAGCACCCTTGTTATTCCTGGTCATTTGAAGAATCTCTCAGGACTCTGAGGGACTGCTGGTGGTTTGTACGAAGCTGCACTGGAATTAGACTATTATATTCAGGATCCGTGGCTGTTCCACGCCAGAACGACGCTGGCTGGAGCCGGGGTGATGCCATGTAACTTGTCGAAGCTGAGGGCATGAGGCCTTGTAGAGAGATTTGGGGATGCTATGCGGGGGCATCCTAAGGGACAGCTGGGGGTTGTTGACACAGGACGACACTGGTCGGAGCTGGAGTGAGTCGCGTTGCTTTATAACCTAGCTGATAGGGGGTGTGGGGCCTGGATGAGTTTGTCAAAGAATAAGTCAGTTTTGGTGAGCTTTGTTATGATCTGTTGGAAATCCCTTAGATACTAAGTCAGTGTTCGGAAAATTGCAGTGGATTTAAGGAGGTGTTTAGTGATCGTAGAAAAGGATTCGTAACTTTCTCGTCATCTATTCGGATTTTCAGTAGCTTGTTCATGATCTTGGAGGATACTCTCAAGCCGAAACCAGGTTCATAAATTGTTTTTACATGTCTTCATATGGGACGTTGGGCCCGATTCCCAGCACGTGTTGCCCCCCACGAATAGATTAGAGCATGTCTTCATAAAAAAAAAGGAAAAAGAATCAGTATGACTTCAAGCTAGACTACGTGAAGGGAGAGTACAACAAGGTTGCTGATGCGCTGTCACGCAGGGCAGATTACCTGGGTGCGCAAATAACCGAGTTTGGCTTATGATGTAACTCGATCAACGGTGGAAGCCTACAAGGAAGATCCTGTCACGATGGACATCATACGCAAACTTGAGGCCCAAGATAAGGCCATATCTGATGAGTTTGTGATGGTGGGTGGGTTACTCTTCCTTGAGAAGGCAGGGTTTAAAAGGTTAGATGTTCCAACTAGTGAGATTTTGCGTAGTTTATTTTAAGGAGAATGTCATGATGGAATTGGACATTTTGGCTATAAGAAGACTAGTGCAAATCTGGTACAGCGATTTTGGTGGCCTGGTATGCTAGACGAAGCTAAACTGCATGCTCAGACTTGCCAAGTCTGTCAGCGGGACAAGCCGCGGACTCAAGCTCCGCTTGGGTTACTCAAGCCTCTACCCATTCCTGCTGGTCCGGGACACAGTGTTTCCATGGATTTCATGGATACCCTTCTGACCAGCAAGAGTGGCAAGAGGCATATCGTCATCATAGTTGATAGGTTTACCAAGTTCGCGAGACTGATTGTCATGCCAAAGACCGCAAGACTGAGCACGTCATCAAGTTATTCATGGATAACTGGGTGCGTGACTTTGGACTGCCAAAGGCTATTGTTAGTGATAGAGATGTTTGTTTCACAAGTGAAATGTGGAAGAAGGCTGCAGAACAGATGGGCAGCCAGCTCCCGATGACTTTTGTGAATCATCTTGAAGCCAATGGGCAGGCTGAACAGATGAACCGAGTGGTGCCGCATCTGCTGAGGCATTACATAAAGCCTAGCCAAGATGACTGGGATTACCTCTCATCGCCAGCCTGTACAACAATGTTGTGCACAACACCACCGACGCCAGCCCGAATCAGCTGCACTTGGGGTGGAAGGAAGCCTAGATCTGCTCTAGACTTCCTCCTGCCTGAAAACGGATCTGCTGCAACTCTCGGAACCATTGAATTTGGTGTCCAGTATGAGAGGATGCTGCAGCAAGCTGCCGAACACATCAAGAAATTTCAAGAAGCAATGATTGCTTCTGAGAAAAAACATTGCCGACAGTCCACATTTCAGGTAGGGAAATGTGTCTGAGTTAAGTTTAGTAAGTTAGGGCAGGAATTCAGCATCTCTAGGAAACTAATGCCTCAATATTTCGGTCCTTGGGAAGTCTTGGATATTGTGGGTAGTGAAGAAGATGGTCCCTCGTATGTGATTCGAATCCCTGGTCATCTATGCACTTACCCTGTGTTTCACACCTCAAAGCTTGCACCTTTCGCTGAGACACAGCAGTTCCCATCAAGGAGATCTATGCTGCCCCCAACCATGGATGGCCGCGTGGACGTCGATGACATTTTGGAGCACAGAGACATGCCTGTTCATAAGCCTGTGGGTAGAGGAAGACCGTCGAAACCCAAGAGGGAATACAGGGTTAGATTCAGGGATCACACGGATCCAAAAGAAGACCGATGGTTCACCAGAGAGGAACTCATTGAGACAACACCTCAGATTGTGGCCCCAATAGGGAACTCAACAGGGAACTCATTGAGACAACACCTCAGACTGTGGCCCCAATAGGGAACCCAACAGGGAACTCATTGAGACAACACCTCAGACTGTGGCTCCAATAAGCCTCGTGCCTGCCCTAAGTGAAGGCGGGCCTGAATATTCACAAGAGGCCCTTATCTCAACATTTTCCAATGCGGTTCTCAGAGAGTTGCTGCATGGCAGTTGGTTGAAGTGCAACCTGAGCCTTACCCTGGGCTCTTCCAGAAAAAGGAACTGCGCCAGGCAGTTGAGCCCAAGGGCCCACGTTGTTATGGATTCAGCCAGGGCTCAATCACTGGTCCGCGGGTTACCACCTGCCAGGCTGCTATTTTATCTTTTTTTTTGAGTCTCTGATCTCCGGTTCCTGACTGTTGGCGCCCTCTGCAGTCGGCGCCCGTTCTCAAATTCCTCCCTTGACACTTTTGCAATGACCCGTCCTAACATGGGCTGAAACACACGACTGATTTCTGAGTTTTGCCCATAGACTGCATGCCTTGCTGAGTTTCCCGCCTGCTACTAAGTCTGTGTGTGCACGCTTGCTGGACTGCATGTCTGTCTTAGTGCTGGTTGGCTTGTGTGTGTGTGTGGTCGTGCCTGTCTGAGTGCTGGTTGGTTTGAGTGTGTGTGTGGCCCGCAAGGGCACTTGCTCGTTCATTATGCCCTCAGGGCCGGTACTTACCTGTGGGCGTGACATTGAGGGATTGCAGCAGGAAAAACACTAGCGGGTAGGCCAGTACTGCACCCTGAAGAGGTAGATGTGCGGGTACTGGAGGCCGAGGAGAAGAAGACAAAAGTGGCATTTTTAGAGGCCCAGTAGTTGTAGGTTAGGTCTAGGCGGATACCATTCCAACCAGTCTGGGTCTAGGGCCTGTACGGGTAATATCAGAGTCTGCAATGATGTTTCCCTCAGAAAGGGAGGAGGTACTGGTTGCTTGGAAGGCCGAGCGGCCTGGAAGTCACCGCCCGAAGAGGCAAGCAGGATCATAACATTGGTATCGGAGCGGATTCTACTTGTTGGTGAGAGTTGACTTTGCTGCCCTAACCCTAACCTCAGTGGTTGAGGGCAACACTTAGGGTGAGGGTTGGTTAGCGTGGCTAAGGGAAGCTGCCCCCACCCGGTTAGGGCATGTGGGGTCAACATTGAACCTAACCAAGTTGCTTGAGAGTGAGATCAGGGTGGCGAGACATTTCGAGGAGACTTCATGCGGCGAGTTGAGAGAGGCAACCGTGAGAGGCACTCGCACCTGGAATCTGATTCAAGGGAGACACTTGGCAACTTAAGGGTTGCCCTCAAGTAGGCGAGCTTGAGGGTCAGCGGCCACTCAGCATCGGCGAACTGCAAGTTGCTACTTTGTTCTTCAGCATCGACATGGGATCCGGCGTTGCACTTGGGTGTTGGAGTCAGACCCTCGTAGGAGATAGGACACCAATGTAGGGGAAGCGTTAGAGGGGTCAGAAGGATCACATGAGAGGGGGGTGAGTTCTATTCATCTCGAAGCTCAAGGCCACTCAGGTAAGTGTCGTGCACCTACGGGATGCCCATGTGTGTGTGCATGGTATGGTTTGTCCTGCTGGGGTTACTCTCCTACTCCTCTGTGGTCTTGATTGTGTGATTGAATGTGTGCGATCTACCTACTCACCGGATGGATGGAAAATGAAGTATCTTGATCCGAATGCCGAGTCTTTCTACAGTGCTTTATCTTTTCATCTCTGAACGGTTGTAGTCTGTAGGTTCTGCCGGAAGTTGAAATTTCGTTTTTCGATGCGGTAGAAACTGAACTGAGTCCATGTGGGACTCCTCTTGGTTGGGACCTGGTCGCGGCCTACGTGGGACCTCTGGGACCCAGTGGGACCGGGCCCAAACAAGAAGAGCCCTGTGGACCCAAATTTGTTTGGCATTAGTCCATTGTCTTCCTGACTGAGATCCAGAGTTTTATTCTTGTTGGTTAGGACACCCACTGTCGAGGGGATCTCGGCTGAGATGTTTCGCATGCTTTTGATTGCACCGTCTGTGGCTTGACTCGCACCCTGTACACCACTCAATTCTCCATTGCTGCATTTAGTCACTCGTTGTCTAATTTGCTGCACAATCACAGAGCTGGTCAGATTGGACTCGAGAGGACCTTGTATGCAGTTTGATCAGACTGGGTTGCTGGATCAGACCTCTCATGTGAAGTTGTTTGCTTATTCTTTGGTTTGCTGCTCTCTAAGTCCAAATGAAATGTCGCTCCGGCTAGGAGTTCTACCTTTCTCTTCTCTGAGTTTTTCAGTTTGTTTCTCTGAGTTCATTTCCAATGCTCGTGGAGACTCGCAACCAGAAAGAAGAGAGAGAGAGGAGGGAGAGAGAAAAGGAAGAGAGGGAAAGTGACCGTCTGGGGTGGGCAAGGACTGGGAAACGGAGTGTTCGTCCAAGCGAAAAGGGGAGTGTACCTCTTGAGAGTCTGATTGATTCTTTTGCTGATTGGCGTCTCTCCGATCCACCTGCCGACGACAACGGTCGAAAAATGGCCCAGCCACGGCTAACCTCAGTCCAGTGGAAGACCCTGTTAGATCCAGCCAGCGATGCGGAAAAACCGCATCTGCAAGCACTCCTAGATAGTGTCATCAAAAGGGAACAAGAGACAGAGAAGGAGAGGAAGGAATTGTTGCTGAAAAGTCAGAAGGCCATCTTGGAAACTGTCCCCTCACTGACCAAAGAGCAGTGTGGGGAACAACTGCAGTCCACACTTACCGCTATCGTCCAAGTACGAAGCCTTGAAGATCATACCACTCAGATCGTCGAAGTCTTCGCAAAATTGCAGAAACTTTAGGAGGATCTGACTGAGATGACCGGCAAGTACCGTGACTTGATGATAGAGGTTGTCGCGCTGCGACAAGCCCAAGCAGCCAATCCTCTTCCTCTACCCCCTGGTTCCGGAGCTGCAATTGAAACTAACTCTGCCTCTCTTTGATGGCAAACCCCTCGGGACCTGCAACAGGTGCAGATTCCGCTGTCGCCGTAACAAGCAACAAGGCAGGAAATTCTGCAACTGCTGCAGCCCCAAGATCCGAACCAGCAGGTGCTGGTCCCAGCCATGCCGGTCCCTATGTGGATCGAAAGGCGGTGCAAATATCGTCTAAGTATGACGGCGAAGAATACGTTGAATCCTGGATCAGCTCTATGAGGGCATACTTTGAGGTTGTGGGGACTCAACCTGAGACCCACTCCGTGATCATGGGAATGAATGTCGAGCCTGTTGTACGGGGCTTCCTAGAGGCCCAAGCTACGCGAGCTGGGGTTCCTAAGATAGAACTGACAAAATGACTTAAGGCCACCCCGGTTGCCTCCCTCGAGGAACTCCTCATTTCCCAATATATGGATCCACACGCTACAACAAGGGCAAGGAGCCAGCTTGATAAAATTAAACGCAGCAAGTGGACGGACTCCATGAAAAGCCTGCAGACCTACCTCAACAAGATGTTTGCTACACCCGGGTTAGAACTGACTGACCAATCTTGCTTGGATGTGGTAAAAGGCGTGATTCCCACCAGTTTCACTAATCGCCTTGGCAAGGACTTCATTGGGTACACTGACTGGTTCACTCTTATGAAGGACATAGTCAGTCTTGAGGCTATAGACGTCGTTTCCATAGCAGGCCGCAAAAAGCCCATGGGCGGCAGACGGTTCAAAGGCAGCAGCCGTTTTGCTGTGCATGACCTGATAGAGGCTGAAGAAGAGGTCGATGCAAATGACCTCGCTCTTGGTGACGACCAAGAACAGGACACTGATACACCCTGTTCGTCAGCCCATGAGTCTGGTGCAAACCAAGAAGAAGGAAAATTCACTGCCTTTAAAAAGACTGCCAATACAAAGGGACAAATCGGAATGCAGGAAAGAACTATGTCCAACTTCCTAAGGGAGTCAAGATCCCAGCAAAACCGGAGCATTCGGCCGCTAAACCATGGGTCGATCTCCGGATCACTGAAAATGATTGGCGGGGTAAACTCAAGAAGGGGGTATGCCTGCATTGCCAGAAACCGAACCATAAGGTACTGGATTGCTATGGGCTGCAGGGAAACCAGAACCGGGCGTAGAGTCGACTTTAGCATCCTCTACAGCAAGGGAGACTGAATCTGATGCAAATCAGCAGTCCTCCCTTGAAGCCCAATCATCTGCTGAAGCCAAGGCTGAAGTGTGTAATGTTTTGTATGTCGAGCCTTGGGAGGAGTCGGGGACGGTCAACTTCCACTACCTCTTGGAGCATTGGGTTGAGATGAAACAACAGCGTGCCTAAGGGACAATGAAGTTGATCTTCTTCAATCTTCTCATAAACCACCGCTATCTCCGTGTCTTGATTGACTATGACGCTACTGCTAACTTTATGTCACCTCATGGGATACGCAAAGTGGGCTTCGGAATGAAGCAAGTGGTCTTGCAGAACCCTTGCCGAACCCAAGTGGGCAACAAAGAAGTTGTCTCTTCTACGCATGCAGTCAAAGAAGTGCGCACTACCTTTGACAAGGACAAAACTGTCACACACGCGTTGAACTTCTATGTCCTTGACAAGTGCCCCTTCAACGTTGTCCTTGGCTTGGGCTGGCTGCAGTCCCAATTCGAATGGACCAAGTGGAAGGAGTCACTTTTCATGGTCAAAGATGCTCTAGGGAACGAGCTTCCCATCCTCCTGGATGAGAAGCACGAGTCCCCAGTGACTTTTCTGAATGCTATGAAGTTCTGCAAGAAATGGCGCAAGCACAAAGAGGACGAACAATTGTATGTTGCCTTTGTTCGTCCTACCCATGTGCAATCTACGGTTGCGGTTAATACCACTACTACTTCGGCTAGCGATTCTACTTCTAGTGCTTCTACTTCTAGCACCTCTACTTCTCTAACCTTCTACTAGTCCAAATGATCCTACTTCAGATTCCATCGCCTCTATTAGCAACCTGCGACCTGATCTAGGTGATCCCTTTGCTGATCCTCCACCCCCACCGGTTCCACCAAACATCCAAAACCTACTCGATCGGTTCCCTGAAGTTCTGGCCGAGCCACGTGGAGTCCCCATGCGATCGGTCCGACACACCATCGAGTTGGTCGAGGGTGTTGTTCCTCCAAAGGGCTGCGTATACAGAATGGGACCCGGCGAGTTGGAGGAACTCCGACGACAAATTGACGACATGATTGACAAAGGGTGGATCAAGCCTAGTGAGTCTGAATTTGGTGCTCCTGTTTTGTTTGTTGCGAAGAAAGGAGGCAAGCTCCACATGTGTATTGACTATCGCAGTCTAAACCGCATCACAAGAAATAACGCCTATCCATTGCCCTGCATAGATGACTTGCTTGATGTCGCAGATGGGTGCAAGGTATTTTTCAAGATCGATCTCAAGTCTGGCTACCACCAGATTGAAGTCGATCCTGCGGACCAGCACAAGACTGCGTTCAAAACGCGCGATGGGCTTTACGAGTTTACCGTAATCCCTTCGGTCTTACAAACGCACCGACCACCTTCCAAAGCCTCATGGACAAGGTCCTCCGCGAACAGATTGATCGGTTCATGGTGGTATACCTCGATGATATACTAATCTTTAGCAAATCCATGGAGGAACACCTCAAGCACCTCGAGGAAGTGCTCACTATCCTCAAGAAGACACAACTCCATCTCAACCTAGAGGAATCGGTTGTCTGCTGCAGGCCTAGAGCCTGAGGCAACCAAGGTTGAAGTCATACGCAATTGGTCTCAGCCCGCGAACATCCGCGAACTGCGCTCTTTCCTTGGTCTCGCGTTGTACTATCGGAAGTTTGTGCCCCGCTTCTCTATTGTTGCTCGCAAGTTGTCCCGGTTAACAAGTAAGAATGTTCCTTACGCTTAGGACACCGCATGCAAGGACGCCTTTCAAGCTTTGAAAGAAGGATTGGTGAGTTACCCTGTACTCCGCATTCCAGATCCCAAACCGACATTCGTAGTTACTATGGATGCAATCCAGTATGGAATTGGCGCAGTGCTGCAGCAAGATGACGACAATGGCTTGCGGCCGCTCAAATTCTACAGCAAACGCATGCCCAGTGTAAAGGTAGACGCATTGTCTCGCCACTCTGAGTACATGACTTGCCTTGTGAAATCCTACGACCTCCGGAAGAAACTGAAAGAGGAGCTCATAGAGCATACAACCAAGGATTCGGAACTTAGTCCCATCCTTGAGCGGTTGCGGGCTGATCCTAGCAGTCAGCCTGATTTTCACGAATATGGAGGACTGATTTTCTGTCGCTACGGGAACCACGACCGCTTGTGTGTGACCAACCATGAGCCTCTCCGCACGCATTTTCTGCATTTGGCTCATGGCCGGAGCGGACACTTCGGCATGGCAAAGACGTACGCAAATCTGCTGAGACAGTTTGATTGGCCAGGCATGAAAGGGACTGCTGAAAAGTTTGTGGCTGAATGTCAAGTTTGTCAACGAATCAAACCATGTAGACAAAAGCCCATGGGGCTACTCACATCCTGTCCCATTCCCGAAGGTCCCGGGGAGTCGTCTCGATCGACTTCACCGACTTGGGAAAGGTAAGTAAGAACGGCTACTCACAAGTCATGGTGATTGTTGACCGATTCTCTAAGTTCCTTAATCTGATTCCTTTGCCACCTCACGCTCCAACAAAACTAGTGATCCGTGAGTTCCAACAGAAGTACATTCTGTAGTTCGGAACCCCGAAGACTCATGTGAGCGATCGGGATCCGCGCTTCATTAGTACTGAATGGAAGGACTTCACGTCTCAACTAGGGATCAGACTGTGTATGACATCTCGCCGACACCCCGAAGCCAATGGTTTGGCTGAGGAGATCAACCAGACTGTGTTTCAACTTTTCAGCGCCTTGATTATTTCGGATCAGGAAACATGGGATGAAGAGCTATATTCCGTTAAGGGGTTGTACAACAACTCCGTCCACTCCGCCATCGGCATGACACCCAACAGGTTGCATTACGGATGGCAGATCCGTAATCCGCTCTTCTACCTATTCCCTGAACAGCCAGTTGGCTTAACACCCGACAGGCCTGGCTCCAGGGCCAAGTATGATCGCTTGCTCAAAATTGCCATTGTAGCAATGACCAAGCGACAACACGCTATGATCCATTATGCAAACAAAAGGCGCCGACCGTCGGATATTCAGGTAGGAAGCTATGGCTGGGTCAAGATGTCTGAATTTTCAGAAGAAGAGGGAGTCTCTCGCAAAGTTCTCCCACTCTACTATGGTCCGTGGGAAGTTTTGGATGTGATTGGCGAAGACCACTTTGGCCCTTCGTACGTAGTTGGTGTGCCAACCCATCTGCGCACATCCCCCGTGTTCCATGCATCAAAATTGTACCTCCACCGTGACGCTAAGACGTTCGATTATCGCAAAGACATAATCCCTCGTGCAATCAAAGGTGGGCATGAGATAGACAGAATTAAACAGCACGTAGGGAAGGGACGCAACAGACAGTACTAGGTTCACTTTATGTATCACCCGTTCGACGATCTGTACTGGATTTCCAAGCAGGAGTTGCTACGCAGCGCACCGCGCGTTGTTAAAGCCTACGAGCGACAAATCGCAGCTAACGCTACTCCTAAGATCTTCGCAAGGCTCACTACAACGGAGTATTTTAGAAACCTCTTTGCCTTGCTTGCTTACGATCCGTTTGTCGAGGACTCAGAAGGAGTTACTCGCTCGAAGGGACATTGCTCTTGAGGGGGGGGTAGTGTGATGACCCGTCCAAACATGGACTGAAACACGACTGATTTCTGAGTTTTGCCCATAGACTGAATGCCTTGCTGAGTTTCCTGCCTGCTACTAAGTATGTGTGTGCACGCTTGCTGGACTGCATGTCTGTCTTAGTGCTGGTTGGCTTGAGTGTGTGTGTGGCCCACAAGGGCACTTGCTCATTCATTGGGCCCTCAGGGCTGGTACTTACCTGTGACCGTGACATTGAGGAATTGCAGCAGGAAAAAACACTCAAGTAGCAGGTAGGCCGGCACCGCACCCTGAAGAGGTAGATGTGCGGGTACTGGAGGCCGAGCAGAAGAAGACAAAAGTGACATTTTTAGAGGCCCAGTAGTTGTAGGTTAGGTCTAGGCGGATACCAGTCCAACCAGTCTGGGTCTAGGGCCTGCACGGGCAATATCAGAGTCTGCAATGATGTTTCCCTCCGAAAGGGAGGAGGTACCGATTGCTTGGAAGGCCGAGCGGCCTGGAAGTCACCGCCCGAAGAGGCAAGCAGGCCGCTATATCTCCCAGTCGGGCGAAGAGCCTGGCCTCTTTCTCGGTGTGCAAGTTTGGCGACACACTGGTTGGAGCGCCGGTTGGAGCAACGCTGCTGGGGAAGGAGAAGGACACGGAGGAGGAAGAAGGACAGGAAGGGGGAGGAGCGCTAGGGGTGCTTACCTGGCTATGGTGGCAGCCATCTTCATCACCTTGGTGGGCGCTGCAGCAGGGAGTCCCCAACTGGGGAGAGCCACACCAAGAAGCTTCAAGGCAGAGTTGGGCATGGCGGCATGAGTGAAGCAGCCATAGCTGCTTTGGGTTGTCCTTTGGGCATTTGGGCAAGGCCTAATAGTCCGCCATAGCCTCGGCCTATGAGAGTGAAGAGTGGGAGAGGCGGCCATGGCTATGGTGGACCTCAAGTGATACCTGCAGTAGAAGAGGAACTCGGACATTGATTCTGGATCAGCCATTCAACATTGTATTATTATTTCTTGTATGAATAAGAGAAGGGGGAGATCAGGAGGAGGAGATTGCTGGGCGAAGAAGAAGAGCCTTGTCATTTGTCTATGCTGGTGTACATCATCTTCTTCTTCTTTCTTACTTCTTCTTCTTCTTCTAATCCTCTCTCTCCTCTCAAGTTCATTCATTTCTTTCTGCAATTGGACGACGTTGTACTATCTGATGGATGTGTATGTTGAAATTGGTCAGGATCATAACACTTTTGGATTTCGATACTTGGCGCCATCCCGCATTCTGGCGCCCAGACTCAAACCTTCGATTCTTAGTGCATCCCTGAGGCAAATTGTGCTTTTGCCCTCAGGACTGAACTTGAGTCCGGTACGTAAGACCGGACTCAAGCTGAGTTTGGGCATTCAGTTTTCGGCCTCAGTGCTTGTGCTTTAGTGTGACTTTCTGCGACATTGTGTTCGGAATCCAAGATTACGACTTTGCGACTTTGCCACTTTGTGTCTTCGTTTGTCCTGTCGTGTCGAGTCTGCGTCGAGTTAAGTGAGTGTGTGTGTGTACTCTCACTCACCCTCTCTCTCCCAGCCTCACTGCTCTGCCTCAGCCCCGTCATAGTGGTTACGGAGCGGCGAACGGTCGTACCTCCCTCCTTGCTCTGGCGCCACCATGTCATTGACATCATCGTCTCCAGCGCTGCTGCCACGTCATCATCATCGATATCGCCGTTGTCTTCGTCGTTGCTGACACGTCAGCACCTCGCTGCCTTCGTCGTCGTCGCTGCCACGTCGCCGATCCCGAGGCCGACGCGCAAGTAACCATTAAAATTTCTTTTTTTTTCTCTCCTTCCGTTTCTTTCTTCTCCCCCTCATTTCTTCTTCTTCTTCTCCTCCTCCTTATTATCGTCGCTGTCATCATCCCTTCTTCTCCCTCCCCTTCACTCTCCCCCGTTCCCCTTTCCCCTTCTCCTTCTTCCTCTTCTTATTCTTCAACCGTCCGCACCCTTTCGCCCCCCCTCCTTGACTTCTAACCCCCGCGTGATTTCCCAAGCGATTCCTCGACCCCTATTCCCCATGCGATTCCCCACGCGATCCCCCGACTCCCGACCCCCGCGCATCGTCATTTTCCCCCGCGCATCGTTCTTCCCCCGCCGCACAATTTTCTCCTCCCCCCCCCTACTCCCCAACTCCCTCTCCCTCTCCCGACTCCCCCACCTCCCTCCCCAACTACGATCCTTCCCCGACTCTCCCGACTACTCCCCGATCTCGATCCCGCAGCCCTACCTCGACACCAACCACGATCCCCTTCCCCCGACATTCCCCCCCCGCTGCGCGCTACCTTCCAACCCCCCCCCACCGATCTCGACCCATTTCCCCCCTCGCGCCGCTCGCT